CCTTGCCATCTACGTTTCCTGTAACTTTCGTGTCAAATGGGTAAAAACTAAGGAAGGAGTATAGGGGGAAAACAGAAATAAAATGACATTTGCAGAAAAACGACAATTATTATGAAAATATACAACATTTTGACACATCCTCATGTTTTCAAATGCAATTAATAATGTGAATAATGATTTGATTTTCTCAATTGCCTTTTTGCTCTTTTTAGATAGAGAACTGGTTGACTTTCTACAATCAGCAAAAATCTCAATTTTCATAGCTTGACCCAAAATCTTCCAAGCCAAGAGTCGTTCCTCCCAACAATAAGCTAAATCAGCAATACTGTCAAGGGGGGGGGGAATATTATACGACGTGGAAATGGAGGGAAAGACAGCGCTTTGAACGGAGGCACGCGGGATAGGGAGGGGGTGTTGGGAGGGGGAAGATGGGGGAGGGGAGGGAAGAGGAGGGAGATGGGGGGGGGGATGGAGGGACGGAATTTTTCAAGGGGGTCCAAACCGACAGTATTTTTATTTTATTCATCCAGAAACCATTAGTTTCTTCTTGTTCATTCAATTATAAGTATTTCATTGCATTTTTTTTCTTTCGCTTTTACAGTTTAAAAAAGCTCTATTTGTGCTGGCTGCTACTTTTATTATTATTATTATTATTATTATCATTATTATTATTATTATTATTATTATTATTATTATTATTATTATTATTATTATTATTATCATTATTATTATTATTATTATTGTTGTTATTATAATTATTATAATCATTATTATTATCATCATTATTATTATTGTTGTTATTATTATTATTACTGTTATAAGCGTGAACTTCCGAGAGTAAATCAAAAGATAGTCCAAAAGTTATTATAAGCAAATACAAGATAAGTAATATTATTCAGAATCTAACTTTTACTTCTGCACTTTATTACAGTTAAAATTATATAGGAAACCACGTCGGATCATCTGGCATGCTTTTTTGACCTCTCAATAGAAGCCATGCAATAAATGTTCAAACCAGACATTTGGTTGAAGTGAAAATAAAATCAGGACACTAAAGTTCACTTGAGTATCTTTAATTAAGTTTCAGGGTAATAGGACCTTTCGGCTCCTCTTTCGGAACTTCTTTGACCTAGTGCGCACAATCAGGATCTCCACTCCTAGCGAAACCAAATTAAAGTTTTGTCCGCAGTGACGTCATGCGAAAAGATGCTTTTAATTAAGTTATTTCATGAATGGAGGGGGTGAGAGAGAGAGGGAGAGAGAGGGGGGGAGAGAGAGAGAGAGAGGGAGAGAGAGGGAGAGAGAGAGAGGGAGAGAGAGAGGGGGAGGGAGAGAGAGAGGGGAGAGAGAGAGAGAGAGAGAGAGAGAGAGAGAGAGAGAGAGAGAGAGAGAGAGAGAGAGAGAGAGGATGTCTAAATTTACTTTTCTCTATTTTAGAACAAAAGAAGTAGCAAGTAGCACTAGTCCCATTAAAACACATAAATTTAGTAGAAAACGACTTTTTGAGACAAAGGCACTTACAACAGTAGAATGTCATTATTGTTATGTTTGTTTTCGTTAACTTCACTTTTTTTCCCATCTTTTCCTGTCACTTTTGTCTTTCAATTCTCTGTTTTTGCTCTAGGTTCTATTTGTTTAGCTCTTTTTTCTTTCAGGGTGATACATTTTTTTAAACGTCAGAAAGTACACAGAAATCGATTTGATTGTTTTGGTCAGCTGAAATGAGAAATGTTACAATATGGAAATGCCCATTTGTGTCAGTTTTCTTTTAACCATTTTGGTTCGGATTTTTCTATTAGGCAATTTCATTTATAATATAGGGAACGTTGCGCAATACTGCAGTTTGATGGGTCATGTCTTTCAAAATCTTTCGCCTTACGCTGTTATTGTTATGCAATGCAAGCATTGTTTTCTTTGTTACGAACCTAGGCTCCGATGTGAAAAAAAATTGTATTCATGTCCATCTACCCAACGACTGCACACCCAATTTCCTTAATTACAATCAGTATAATTGTGCTCAATTGATTTCCATGGCATCGCACGTCATGATTTGACTTCTTTTGGACCATATGATCTATTGACAAACGTCTTTTCCGACCCCTCTCACTACCCTCATCCCCCTTCCCTCTACCAAATTCCCCCTCTCCCGACCAAATCCACGCCTATCCCGACCCCACCCCCGCCCCTTCCTCTTTTCACACACCTCGTTGCAATCAACAGCATCCGGACTTGTTCCGCTAATGTCTGACCTTAAAGACCGACGGAAAATGCACAGTGCAATAAATATTGATTTGGGTAAAATTTATTTCTTTTGATTTTGGAACAACATATCGTACCATAAGCCATAGATTGCCACTACCGCTATGTTCCTTCCATAATTTACTCGAGATGCGTATGTTTGTGTGTGTTTGTTTGATTGTTTGTTTTCTTGTTTGTTTTGCCTTTTTGCTTTTTTTTAATAACAAAAATTATTTTACGAACTACAGTTTTAATGTCCTTTGAGATTATATGTTATTCAATAAATTAGATGACTACAAAAGAAGAAAAAAAAAAGTTTTTTCATTCACTTCAACCTAAACAGAAGGCTGGAACAGCACACAAACACGACTAGTTTATAAAAACAATACAATTTACTGCAGCCTATAGAAGTAGGACATTCAGGAAACTCGACTCTTCTTATTTTTGTGTGTGAAACCACAAACATCAGAATCCATCATGTTTCCTTTCGGGTCTTTTTTTTTTCTTCTGACGATACCACGATATTCTCGCCGAAGCCGGCGAAGGGGGCTCCCCCTCTCTTTGGGGAACTCATAGAACCCAGAGAGCGTGACGTCAGAATTAAGACGCACGAAATGGCGCCAAGGGTGGCCGTGCGTGATGCTTCCGGGGCAGCAGACGTGCGCGATCGCGGCGCGAAACAACTACGCGTTCGCGTGCTGGGTTTCGCCATGGAAACGATGACATCCTCTTCTCGCTTATGGCCCTTGATCTGTCGCTGGTGAAATTTCTAAACCCCTCGCAGTTGCTGCATAACAATTTGGATTTGAACTTCTTTTTGTTTTATGGAGTCTTGTGATGACTGTGAAAGGAGAATTGTTATGATACGCGAAGATTTGACTGATGTTTCTGTGTACGGAGGTAGGTGGCTTAATGACAGCCGTGCGGTTGATGGCCATTTACTTTTATTTGGTGCGTGGGGTTTTTTTCGGAGGTTGCTTCTTTACAAATCAAAGTATTCAGCCTGTCTGTCTATCTGCCCGTACATCTGCTTGACTGTTTGTCTATTTAATTCTTTGTAACTTATTTTCTTTCTTTCTTGATTTGTCTGATTATCTTTCTGTCTTTCTCTCACCTTTTCCACCTATCCCCCCTCTCTCTCACTGTTCCCTTTGACAGCTTTATCTATCTATCTATCTATCTATCTATCTATCTATCTATCTATCTATCTATCTATCTGTCTATCTACCTACCTATGCTTACTCATATACGTGCTCTTGTTGTCTGACTGTCTGTCTGTCTGTTTCTATATTTTTCTCTCTATCTCTCTATATCTCTGTCTCATCTTCTCCATTACACTAACTTATTTAATATATATATGATATATATAAGGTATGATAATATATATCATATATCCGATTATATTTCCTTCTCTCCCCCTCTCCCTTTTCCCCCTCCTCTCTCTCTCTCTCTTTCTCTCTCTCTCTCTCTCTCTCTCTCTCTCTCTCTCTCTCTCTCTCTCTCTCTCTTTCCCTATCTCTCTCCCTCTCTCCTTCACTCTCTCTCTCCTCTCTCTCTCTCTTTCTCTGGTTCTCTTTCTCTCTCTCTCTCTCTCTCTCTCTCTCTCTCTCTCTCTCTCTCTCTCTCTCTCTCTCTCTCTCTCTCGCTCACCCTTTCTCTACCCCCCCTGTCTCTCTCTGTGCCATACATTCACTTACTCACTCGCCCACTCACTATGTCTCTGCGTCTCTCTCTCTCTCTCACTCTCTCTCTCTCTCTCTCTCTCTCTCTCTCTCTCTCTCTCTCTCTCTCTCTCTCTCTCTCCCTCTCTCCCTCTCCCTCTCTCTCTCTTTCTTCCTAAGATCACATTTACTCTTGGGTCTTTTAGGGCTAATTCCTCATACAGAAGCCACTAAACCTTCTTTTTGCAGGAAGTAATGCTCCTGCTCCAGAGACATGTCTTTGAACGATAGAAAACATTAATTCTCGTTTGGAGAATCCTTTTGAAAACATAGAAGCAAATACGATAGTGTTTCATTCCCAGTATAGTATCTTAGACAACAGGCATCGATTTGAAAAACAACAATTTTATTGATATTATGCCGGACAACTGTCCCTAGAAAATAATAAACCGTGCATTTTGTTTAATATAACGTTTCAGTTCACTTGGGACAAAATTTAAATGCCTTTGAGAGAGGCTAACATTTTTACACAAACATCAAGTGATAATTTCGTTCCTAAGCTTCGCAAATATCACTTCATAAAATAAACAAGTCGCTTCGGACAATAATGACGCGAAATAAAAAGTAGTCTGAATGGTGTAAGTGGATTACAAAAAAGAAGTTCATGAGCAGATTTGTGGGCCTTGGTTTCATCTGCGCGGTGTCTCCAAATCCTCTCTCCAATGGCGTCTGTTGAGAGAATAGCCCACCTGAAAAATGTTTACAAGCCAGTCTCATTAGCAGATCAATTCTTTTTAGACATTGGCCAGCAACAAGCAATGAAAGAATTCTGCCAGGATAGAGACTTGTCCACGCACAAAAAAAATTATTATAAGTACGAAAAGCGGGCACATCGACAAGAAGATCATAAAGCGTTACTGCTAATAGACCAGTGCTGATTGCGGTACTTAGTTGATGCACTTGTTTGTTTCGTAAAACGATCAATATTTTCGCTCTAAGATTATTTAAGGTTTTCTTTTCTTTTTTATTTTTAAAATTTTTTTATTATAATTTTTTATTTATTTGTTATTTATTTTATTTTTTGCTTCTTCTAATAGGAATTAATGTGTGCTGAATAGAAGACAACGGAAATGTGTACGACAAAGAAACGACTGTCATCGCAGCGTATTGAAATAGTGGGTGCTAACGAATTTGATTCACATGGAGTTTAGTCTCTGGCTGGAGCGTCACAGCTGCCCGGGTCTTCTTAAACTTTTGGGTTGTATCAGAGCCGTACAGGTGAGACGAAGTTAAAGGTACTTGAAATCAGTGACTTTTTACCTGTGTGCTTTTGTTTCTACATACGGTTAATTCGTTTGATGGGGGTTTGTTTTTGCTTTGGTAAAAATAGGAATTTCTGTAGGACACAAAAAGTGACCACGTTTTCTTACTTGCATTTGAGATGGATTTTAGGTTTAAAAATTGTACCCACTGTTTTCCAGATACCTTGAATTTGTTTGTGAATAATGACCTAATTGGGCAATGTTCGATTTGCTGTCGACAAGTTATAATCGTTTCCTATCTAGCCGTATAACATCATCGCGTATTGGACGCATGCGCAGATAGGACACACGTAAACCTGAGAGCTATGTAGGTATGATTCATTAATGTTCTTCAGAAAAGACACACTAACCTTTTAAAGGCGGTCATCATTAATTATGTTTGTGGATTTAACATTAACAACTTCACATAAAAAACAACTTATTTTGGGGGGTTGTTTTCTTTATGAACTGTTTTCCTCAAGAAGTAAATAAATTGTATTTTTACATGCCCCATGCAGTTTTGTTCCCTTAGTCTGCCCACTGGGTTTTGTTTGGGTCTAATTTCATTTCTCTTGGATAAGACGCGGGGCTACTTTGAAACCCTGAGTTTTAGGTAAAAAGTTACGTCCTATGCAGTGTTATACGGTATCCGTCTGTCTGTCTGTCTGTTTGTCTGTTTATTTTTTGTTGTATTTTGTTCAAACTCCGTCCACCATAACAACCTCCTCTCCCGGCAACCCCCCAACCCCCTTTCCGGATCATTCTAAAAAAAACAAACTTAACACTCTTGAGTCGGTTTCAAAACTTCTTCTTCAGGTAACAGGTCTGGAGCGGACATTGACGATCAGGGTACCCATTACATTCTGTTGTCTGTCTTCTTGATCAGCTCAATTTTTCTCTTTGTGTTATTCGTTTCAAAGTTGTTCAGGCCATCTGTGTATGTTGTTCTTTGTCTTCCTCTGCTCTTCCGTCTCTCTGTCTTTTCACACAGCAGCAGCTTCTCTACTCCATTTGACCTACTCATGTGGCCAAAGAATCCCCGTTGTCTTTTTCTGGTGGTTCTGAGTATGGTTTTACAGCAGATGATCGTTAAATCTAACACTCGTGTTCTGTGTACTTGTCTCTGTAGATAGGAAAGTAAAGCCCCTGCTGTTTAAATATACATTCTATTTAGTTTCTTGAGGAAATATTTCTCTGAACATAATTTTGTCGGATGATGATAGGAGGGGGTGTAGCCCCAGTCCGCCATCTAGTTCAGGGTGATCTGCTTCAAGAATTAACGAAATCCTTTATCTCTGCTTTCAACATGACCGGAACTCTTCGTGAATAAACTGGAACCCCTGAAAAACTTACATTGGGCAAAAAAGTTGTTGCCCCAAAATCGTGTTTGTCTTGCAATATTTCTAAGCGGAGTAGGTGGCTCTGCTAAGCTCATTTTTCTTTCTTTTTTTTTAATTCATAGACCAATGCAAATGAATGTAGTATAGTAAGAATCAATGCAAAGGTGCAAAATCATTTGGTGTGTTATTCATGACATATATCCCCTTTTACCACCTGTGGTGGCGGCCATCTTTAAAAAATACGCCTTACATTTCTACAATTTCAAGCACTCATAACATTATTTTACTTTGTAAGATAGGAATGGAATAACAGGGCCTATATTTACGTAACAGGGTCACTTCTATTTCTATTTCGGTGTTTTCAATGATGGAATATAACTCTAAATGCCATGATGTACCCAGTTTGTATGCAAAAAACAAAATTTTTAACCTATATTTTGACCTAATTTCCTGTCATATTCTCACCTCAACGTGGAGTCAGCTAGGGCACATAAACATCAGGCATGGATATCTAGAATGCTGTTTCTCAGCACAGCACCAGTAGAGCGATTGTAACAAAAGAAGGATCTGTAATAGCTTAAGATAACTTAGAAGAAGGTTAGGCATGGTATGGGAGAGAGGTAAGGAGAAGTAGTATAATAAACTAAAAATGAAGACAACGCAAGATTGTTGACATTAAGTACCAACTGTAAGCTTTTAATTATGGACTTAATTAGCAGAAACGAAAGTGATCGTTCAGGTTATGGTTTAGGTGCAATTGTCTCTGACAGTGAGATAGGTGTGTCCATGTGGTATAAAAACCCTAACGAGGGAAGTAAAAGTCAGAAATGTCTGGCCTGTAACTGTTCAATCTCTAAGTCGTGCTGAATTAACATCAATCTGTACTCTAGTTTAGGGAAGTACATTAAAACGATTACGTATAATCACTACGCGATGTGTTATTGTTTTCTTACGTGAAATCTTTTTGTTATTATATACAAAATCGTGTTAAATAAATTATACCATCACGAGCTAGAGTGTGTGTAACAGGTACAGGTCAGTATAGGTAGGCCATCAACAACTTAAAGTGTGCTATCATAATACTTGTGTTACAAAAAGTTGATTATTCCCCACGTATTTCGCTACACGTCATAAGCTAGTAAGATGAGTTGTTATGCTGTTGATCATAGTTGTAGACATTAAAGAAGTTACGACAGGATATGGTTTTTAAATTATTATAGATATTATAGACAACCTGCTCAAAATCAGACTTTTTGCCATTTTTTAAAAAGTAATTCTTACAAGACGTATATTTTCCTCATACAAGTAACGAAATGTAAAGGCATCTCATACACACTATAATATGTAATGCATTAGCAAAAATAAAACAGCTTGATGTCATTATGATTTAATTTTAAAAAGAATAAAAGATATGAGGAAAATACCACTTTCACCTTTCCTTGGGGGAAATTTTCTTTTATAATGACGTACAAAAAAACAAAACGTCCCCCCTCCCCAACCACCAAATATACGCATGCAATAATTTGTCAACGTCTCTTAATTCTCCCATGTATCACTGGAGTTGTGATTACCGTGCCTTTATCAAGGACACAGTCCAGGGACCACCCACCTCACCGCCCTTTCATTGACATATAAGTATTTTTGATGTTATTTTAATTCTGAGCTCACTAACGATTCTTACTTTTGTTCATTTGAATATATGATGCAAAAACTCAAAATGGCCCTTGTTTCTACGACTACAAGCAGGATCTTTTAATATTATAAATGTCATGAGTTCAAGAAAATATACGAATTTATATAATCATGTTGTCTGGCATTTCATATTTTTGTTGTGTCACGAGCACTGTTAAAACTGGAAAGAAAACCCTAGTTGTTAGCATTTCAAATACAGCCGAGACTAATGATTTCTTAATGGAGGGTTCCTTTCACTAACAAGGGAAAGAAATGAACTGCCCAGTCTGCGTTTTGTTATTAGGAACTGAAGGCTCAAAAGAGTTTCGATAACAAAGGAAACTCTTTTGTTGTGGTACCGTTGTGTAAATCAAGGATTCATTTGATAGCAAGACTTAGCCCTGTTGCTCATCAAAATTGCAACAAGAAAAGCCTAGACGAGGGTGTCTTCGGTTCAGGATAAGTACGTGGCTTAGATCTGAATCATAAGTACAAAAAGAGACTTTTATAACACAGTAGAGAGAACTCTTCAAATCATAAACGCTTAGAAGCGCAGATGTCATAATCAAATCATAGTCCCTCCCGGTTCAAATGACAGGTTCAAATAACAGGATAAAAAGCTACTTTCAACGTAAAATTTCTAGAATTGACGCTTTGGGATTGCTCCAGCACAGACAGACACTTGTACTCGTAATATGTTTTAAAAGTGTTGCTTTGGTTTTATCTGTTCTCCCGAGCGTTAATGCACGATCTCGTTGTAAAAGTAACAACAACAATAGGACCACCAACAACAACCACAACAACAGAAACAAATACAACAACCATTTATACTGGAAATTTTGTTTTATTTGGACCCCATGTTTTTATGTTCAGGTGAAAACTAGAATTCACATGTAAACTAGAGCTGAGAAACCAACAATGAGGACGATAATGATAATGAAAATGGAAGTACTAAATTGTAATGATGATGATGATGATGATGATGATGATGATGATGATGATGATGATGATGATGATGAATCATTACGACAACCGCTGCAACCAAAACTATTTCAAGAGACGCATTGTACTCAATCTGGCCCCTGTTTATAATTATTTCGTCGGCCACACTAGAAATAACCTTTACCCTCTTCAGAGAAATGGCTAACAACGTGACGTCAGAACTTTTCCAGCCCAACGCCACTGTACAAAGCACAGGGACAACCTTGGCCTTTGACCAGGTCAGCACGGGAGAGACAGAGAAAGCGCGGGAAGCGAGAACATGGGACGACGCCACCTGGATCCTTACCAGTGCCTTCATTATCTTCACCATGCAGTCAGGTATGGAGTGGAATATTATTGTTACAGATAAAGTTATCTTTATAATGCAGTTAGGTAAGAATTGAAATATCATCGTTACTGATGAAAACATCATCTTTACAATGAAGTCAGGTAAGTCTTGGAGTACGATCGTTACTGATATTGACACCTTTACCATTCAATCAGTTATAGTGTGGTATCGTCTTGCTTGTTTATTTATATAGATACCAGTATCGTGTAGTCAGGTAAGAATTATTGAAATGTCCGTCTCTACTTTTCAGTCGGGTAAGAATTATCATGACCTCATTACTAATAAAGGTATTTTTATTATGCAGTATGGTAATAATTGTCCTATTCTCATGTGAAAATTGAAATGTTATTATTTTAACCGTCAAAAACGGTCAGTTCAAATTTTATCGTGATATCCTTGCTGGTGATGATTTTAAGGTTCTCTGCATCATGCTGTCAGATAAGAAGGGTTATTCTCCTTGTTGGTGCATCTCTCGTTACAAGAACAACAACAACAACAACAACAACAACAATAATAATAATAATAATAATGATAATAA